TAAAACTATGTCGCTGGAGATTCCACACCTCAGACTGAAACACAACTAGGGAAGAGCATGTTGAAACTTTAGGTGGATTGGGTTAGGATCCTGGCTCTGCTTCTGAATAGCTCTGTGGGTGAGCAGGATGCATCACTCTGTAAAACTGGCCCATAGGGTCTCTCCCTCTGTGCGTCAGCTATACCACCTGTAAAATGGGCTGATGGGGATTCTTCTTCATAGGATTGTTGGAAGAAGAAATGAAACATTGCATTAAAATACGCAGTACCACGTCTGCATTCAGGAAGCCATAAATAAACAGTATTATTATTCTATAGCATGTAAAAAGCCTTTCCTAAACAGTAAAACTGTCTCAATTCTAACATCTAACTGATTTGGATTCAAAGACTCTTCTCCACTGGCTGTTGTTATCTTGGATACTTCACTTTTTTTTTCTTTTCATTTCAATTCTTTTTCATTAGGAAGTAATTGGTTTGTAGGTTTGTTTCAGTGTTAGAGTCACTGTATGTTTTGGAGCAGACCCTGGTCTAAGTATATATATGTACTATATAAAGATACTGCATCCAACTCTGCCAGCTGCTAGCCAAGATACTTCAGGGAAATAACAGGAGCTTGAGTTTCTGAACTGAAATGGAATAAAAATATCTTCCCTCCGAGTGTAATAAGATTGCCAAGGGTAACAGACTAATGGTCCTTGTAAAGGATAAAATACACAAAAATATAAGACCATCATTTCCTCAAGAAAAATAAGAACTCAATAGAGCAAATAAAAATAGGTATTTTCAAAAGTGTGAAAACATTTAAAATAATTAAGACTCTACCTTATAGTCAGATGTAGTAGACATGCTTAAGAAATCCTAGCTCTAGGGGGCTGAGGCACAAAGATCTTGAATTGAAGGCTAGCCTGGGATACATCGCAAGGCCTTGTTTTTAAAACAAAACAAAAAGGCAACATCAACAAAATCTAGACAGAATGAGTGAACTGCATACATCTACAATAACTCAATTAGTTTATGGGCTTTTGGGAAGGATGCTAAGGGGCATAGACTTACTTTTTAGCTAGACTTTACTTCCAAGTTCCAGGCCAAGAGTTGGTGTTGGAGGGGGGGGCAGGGCGCAGATGAGCACACTTTGACATTTGGTGGATATTTGGCTTCTTGCTAACTTAATTCTCTTCCTAATAAACTCTCTAATACAAACAAATAGATCAGGTCTGAGGCAAACTTTCTCACCTACCTCCTCCCTGTTTTGTTCTCTGAAAATAAGTCATGAACATATTAACAAAACACAGCATGTTGGTGTTCAAATTTCCATTAAATATAAATTGTTACTAGATCCAAAAATTCATAATTATTTGAGTCCTCAAAATTGTTGATGATATATTTTTCTTGTTTTCTTTTCTCTTGCTCTTTAAAGATTATACATAAATCTTTTCTATTTAAATTTATGAGTTGATTTATGGCTGTAAAAAGTCTGAATGTTCTAGGTATAAAAAAATGCATCATTCTTGCCTAACCACAATGCTCTGGACTCAAATATTGTGGCCCAAATTCTGATCGTGTCATGAGCCGTTCTCTGTATTAGTCAGGGTTCTCTAGAGAAACAGTGATAGTAGAATGAACATGTATCACAAAGGGTTTTTATTAGACTGCCTTGCATTACAAGAGCTGGGTAGTTCAACAATGGCCATCTGCACATTGGAGAGACTGGGAATTCAGTAGCTGCTCAGTCCCTGAAACTGGGTGCTTTGGTGGTCTCAGTCCTGAGGAGCCACTAGCCTTCAGTCTGTGCTGAAAGGCTGAAGAAGCTGAAGTGTGGTGTCAGCAGGACTGGCAGAGGCAGAGACGGGTGCGCTGAGCAGTGGGAAGCAAGGGCAGGCAGGCATTGGACCACTTTACACCCTGGCTGCCCACACTAGGAGAGGGTCCCTCCACCCGGACTCAGCAAACTGACCATGCAAATTAACCATTGCATGTGCTCTTGGGAAGTTTCATAGCCTGCCTGGGCCTCCACTTTCTCATTTATAAAATAAGAATAGTAGTGGGTCCCCATCACAGGGTTGGTTTCTAGAATCATTGGAAGATAAAATATTGGGAGATAGTGCCTAACACCGTAGTAGGCACTGAGTAAGAGCCTGTTGTTAGCTATTGTGCTGGCTGCGGTTGCTTTATGTCAACTTGACACAAACTGGAGTCGTTGTGGAAGAGGCAGCCTCAACTGAGAAAATGCCCAGACTGGAGAGGCCTGTAGGTGAGTCTGTGGTACATTTTTGATTAATAATTTGTGTGGGAGGGCCTAGGTCCTGGGAACACCCTTGGTGGTTCTGGTGCTTGCTATAAGAGTAGTGTTTCCTTGAAGAGTGTAGTAGCCAAGATCCAGAACAGTCCTGACTGAGGCCTAGAGAGGGGGCTCAGCTGCTAAAGCACCAGCCATGTAAGCACAAGAACCTCATACATACATACACACACATATATATAATACACACATACTCGTGTATGCACGCATACACACATACATACATACATACATACATACATACATACATACATACATACTGTGGTGTTTTGAAAGAAAATGGCCCTCAGAGAGTGGCACTATTAGGAGGTGTGGCTTTGGTAGAGTGGGTGTGGCCTTGTTAGAGGAAGTGTGTCACTGTGGGGGCGGGCTTTGGGGTTTTTTACTTAAGTCTTGCTCAGTGTCACAGTTGACTTCCTGTTACCTGAACAAGATGTAGCACTCTCAGCTCCAGCACCACATCTGCCTACCTGCCGCCATGTTCTCCTTCATGATAATAATGGACTGAACCTCTGAAACTGTATGCCATCCCAATTAAATGTTTTCTTTATAAGAGTTGCCATGGTGTTTCTTCACAGAAATAGAAACCCTAACTAAAACACATGTGTACATACATACATACATATACATTGTAGCTAAAAGACCTGAGAAGTTCAATAAAGTCTATCAGAAGATACATGGAAAATTTATAACAAGACATGGCACATATTTCTAAAAATAAATGTTTAAGATAAAAAGATCTTAAAATCAGCCACAGAAGAAATAAAGATGCTTTATATTCAGAGGAGCAATAGTAAATATTTTTACCATTTTGTTGTTATTGGAGAGAATGCAAGTAAGAAAATATGAAGCAATATTTGAGGTACTGAAAGAAAACATACTGTCTACAACATGGGAAGTGAAGCTGGACATAGGGTCTACACCTGCAATCCCAGCACTCAGGAGGCAGAGGCAGGAGGATGGTCAAGTGCAGCCTGAGCTACACATAGTAAAACATTGCTTCAAAACATCTTGGCCTGCAGATGTGGCTCTGTGGATACCTACTGTGCCAAGGCATGCATGTGGAGGACAGAAGGCAAATTTCCAAAGCTGTTTCTCTCCTTCCACTGTGTGCTATGGATGTCATTCTGTATGCTGTGAATGTGTTGCTCTGATTTGGTTGATAAATAAAATGCTGATTGGCCAGTAGCCAGGCAGGAAGTATAGGTGGGGTGAGCAGACAAGGAGAATTCTGGGAAGAGGAAGGCTGGGTCAGAAGTCACCAGCCAGACACAGAGGAAGCAAGATGACAAGGAAAAACTGAGAAAAGGTACCAAGCTACGTGGCTAAACATAGATAAGAATTATGGGTTAATTTAAGTATAAAAGCTAGTCAGTAATAAGCCTGAGCTAATGGCCGAGCATTTATAATTAATATAAGCCTCTGTGTGCTTATTCGGGGACACGAATGGGAGAGATTTTTCCCCACCACCAGCTGGCTGGGACACAGGAAAACTTCCAAGTACAACTGTCGGTTCCAGGGATCAAATTCAGGCCCCCAGGCTTGTGTGGCAAGCACTTTTCCTGACTGAGCAATCTCACTGGCCCTGAATTTACAGACTTTAAGCTATAGTTTACTTTATAGCAATTATGCTCTATCAAAGCTATGAAAATTAATAATCAGAGAAAGGAAATAAATGGCTACTCAACCAAGCCATAAAAAGTAATGAATGGCATAAGAGGTACAAACCAAGTGAAATCAAGAATAAATACACTTTAAAAATGAATATCATCAGGAATGGCTGCACACACCTTCAATCCTAGCACTTAGAAGACAGAGGCAGGCAGAGCTCTGTGAGTTCAAGGCCATCCTGATCTATACAGTGAGTTCCAGGCCAGCCAGGGCTATGTATAAAGACCCTATTTCAAAAGACAAACAAAAAATTAAAAAAAGAGAAATGAAGGTATAAAAATTATATCATGAAGCCCACTATTTTATTCTATCAATGTATAGATACAAAAATAAATTTTAAAAAGAGAAGTAAAAACTACCAGCTACCATTAAATATAAGTAAGTGTGCTAAATCCATTAAGAGGCGGAATTGAGATTTGTACTATATACAAACAACAACAATGACCCAGACATAAAACCAGTGATAAAGTTGAGAATAAGGAGTAGTCAGGGGCCACCAGGCAACAGCAAATACACGCTAAGTTGAGCAAAGAAAACAAAATCTCCCTGGTTCCTGAAATTTTAATGTTTAATAAAATAATCATTTGTCTTGGATAGATAGGGATTAAAACTTGGGATACATGGGCTAAAGAGGTGGCCCAGTGAGTAATTCACTTGTCACACAGGCACGGGAACCTGATTTCAGGTCCCCAGCATGCCTTTAAGTGCCAGATAGGCATGGGGACTCATGTAATGCCACCACCTAAGACCAGATCTCAGGAGCAAGCTAGCAAGCTTGACGAGCTGAATTGATGAGCTCTGGGTTTAAGTGAGAAACCATGCCTCAAAAGATAATGTGGAGAGCAACTGAAGACACCTGATGTCAATCTCTGGCCTCCCCATGCACTCTCACACTGCGCACATACACACACGTTCACCCACACACCTTTGAAAATACATACACATACTTACACTATACACACACCCATGCAAAAAATAACTGAGATACTTAGTAATGTGGCTACGAAAATGTGATCCAAAAAGGGAGTCTTGAGTTGATTTTTAAATTATCAATCTATTTAAGTTAACAGTTTTTTCAAAAGTATGTTGCCATACCTAGAAATTCTTCAAATGCTATGACTTGCTTAGAGGGCATAGTTAAACAACATTGTGCTGATTTTAACCTTTAATTCCCAAGGCTAATTACTGCCTCTAAGAAGCTACATATATTGAGAGTCTTTAGGGACAAATTATAGCTTGTGATGGAGCCAGAGACAGAGGAGACACAGGCTGCCACCCTTAGTGTGCTGCTGGCTCTCCCCAGTAGCCATAAAATGCCCCACCCTGGACCTACAAATACCTCAGAACCATCAGCTTTAAGAAACATGGGGTAAAGAACAGTGGTTTAGTGTACAATTTTTTTTCATTCATTCAACAAACATTTGAAAGGACTGAAGCACAATCTTTGTCCACACTTCCACAGTCTAGTGCAGGATGTAGGCAAGAAACAGGCATCTGAAATACTGTGGTGTAGTAGGACAGGTCCATAGGGTCAAGGAAATTGGCTCAAACCAGTTGCCAAGGCATGCACATAACATACTTCTTTATGAGCCAACCCAGAGTCTGCCTTAGGGCCTAGCAACAGGTGCTGTCAGAGTTCTTGGTTGCTGTCAGAGTTCCTGATTGTGCCCAGCCAATGAGGGATGATCACACAATGCCACCAGATTGGGACACAGCCTGGGTGCTGGGAGGAGGGTTTATAAGGCCTTTCCCATTATTGAATAAAGGAGTTTGCTGTTTGCCTTCAACTGACTTCCAGTGTCTGTGTCGTTGATGCCATGCCTTCTCACCCCCTCCCCTGAGTCTTCACAGCACTCACATTCAAATCCTGTGTGTCTTTGAGGAAGCCACATAACCCGTCTGGTCTTCAAGTCTTCATCTGCAGGATTGGACTGTAGGGGTGCCTAGTGCAGCAAAGGCTGATACAAGGTTTTAATATGTCTACCCACGAGCTGCATTGAAGATAGCGCTGGGTCCAGGATAGGAGAGTTAGCTGTGGTCAATACTCGTAGGGTGAAAATAAGGGTCCTAAGGGCTAATCAGAGGCAGTCAGGGATCCAGACATAAACCAAAAACCCTGAGTGCCACCGTTTGCCTGTCTGTAACAGAGTCCAGAGGCCCTTCCTTGGGTGAGAGCTATGGGCAAAAGGTGCCAACCAGTGGGCACTTGCAGACAGCCTGAGTATCAGGTGCCAGCCACACAAAGTGGTCAAGGATGCTCACTCTGGACATGGAGGGGGGTAAGGTGGGAGGGAGTAGATCCTGTTTCCCTTGGCCTCAGAGGAGAGTTGAGACATCTGACAGGCTGCTACCCTGGCCAGTGTGGTGGCCATGGGCAATAGGCTCCACCTCCACCCTGCTCCCCAAGACCCAGAGGCCACCATCTCTCTCTTCCACCTGCCACACCTCTGAGGCCATCTCCTCCTGATTGTAAAGAACACTGAGAGCCTGCGGTTTTCCACATAGCTGTCCTTGGCCAGGAGGACCAGACTGGAAACTTTCAGAGTGCGATGGGCCAGGGCTCCCCATGAGTGCTCCAGTAAGAAAAAGCATGGATGATTAATGAACACAGGAGTTCACAGCAAGCCTGGCAGCTCCCTGGACAGCGACTCAGAAACAGAGGCAGGGAGAGAACAGGCCAGCTGGCAGCCCCTCCATGGGTGGTGTAGCCTGTGTTTTCTTCCTATCGCACACCAGAGAGCAGTCCTGCTGATCTGGGAGAGGAGAAGCATGACGGAGCACCCAGAGGTCCCCAGTCCTGCCTCTTTCCTCTCCCCTCTCTGCCAGTTCTTGCTTCCTCCCATCCCAGTGCCAGTTAGGAAAGGAAGGGAAACTACACCCATGAAGTCTCATCAGCATGGCCGCCTAAGCACGCCCTGAACAAGGATGCCAGCAACCATGCTAATGTGGAAGGGGAAGCTCAAGAGGCCCCAACCCTGAACAAAGAACTACAGGCAACTGAGGAATGCCCAGATAAGGGGAAATACCTTTCCCAGGGAAGAGCACAACAGTTGGCTATCCGGTACCAAATGGTCAGCCCTAGAAACATACATCAAATAATGTTATATAGTCCGAGCAGGATGTGTTTATGTATTTAGGAAGACATACACAACGCCACCACCACTACCACCACCAACAGCAATTAAAGAAAAAGAGACCATGAATTTTAAAGAGAGCAGGGGTGTTGTGAGAAGTGGTATGTTTGAGGATTTAGAGGGAAGAAAGAGAAGGGGAAATGATATAATTATAATCTTTTTTTTTAAATTAAAAAGGAAGGGATGGGAAGGAACAAGTTCTCAGAACAGCTTGGATGTTGAGCACAACTCAAAGCAAGGGTGTGAGCCCTGGCCAGCAGCCCTCAGAGGCTTCCAGCTCGGCAGCCCTAGACTCCTCACTGAAAATACCAGTGTCTGATGAAGCAGCTGCGCGTTAAATTTAGCCTTGGCCAATGCAGGCCTTGGCTGGGCACTGGAAGCATCGGTGTGGATGGATGGACAGGCAGATGGGTGGACAGACAGATGGACGGATGGATGGACAGATGGATGGACAGATGTGCCCAGTGCAGGTATGAGACCTGGGCTCCTGTGGCCAGTGTGATGGTTATGGAGACACCTGGAGGGAAGCAGCACCAGGGAAAAGAGCTCCTCTCAGTGGCCACCAGCCTGTCAGCCCTTTGGCAAACACCAACCAGGCATGTGGCCAATGGAAGATGCATGAAGACGCGATGAGAAGGAACCGTAGGGACAGCAGGAACCGCAGAGCCGTGTCCCCCGAAATCCGCTGAGCTGGATCATTTAATAAAGTCATATCAGCCGAGTGAGATCTTGCGCTGGCTGTGCAGACTTTGAGTGCGTCTCTGCTTCCTCGGTGACCTGTTAAAATACAAACAACTGTGCGCTTAGGTTTTCTTGGCTAACTTGGTTATTGTTACTGACGCTGCGAGGGGTTGGGACAAAGGGACAGGGAAGGGACAATCATCAAGAATGAACTAATGAAGAGAGTGTCTCATGTATTAATATCCTGAGAATCAAATAAGTGGTTCCTATACATTCAGTGCAGCTGAATGTAAAAAATTACCTTCCCTGTTGGGTAGAAGGGAAATAATTTGCCTACCTGGGACTTCCATGAAGAGAAAATGGAAGAACCAGGACAGTATTTGACGTGAGAAAGTTCATTTCAGTAAATGTTGGGTGGACTTAATCGTCAGAGGGCCAGGTTCTGTAGGTCATGAGTGGCCAGTGTGGGAGGGTCCCTCCCACATCGCTGCTGGCGGCAGCCTGGTTTGGGCGTTCTCGGTACCCACCGGTCGCCAGAGCGTCAAAGAGCCACACTGCCACCTTCTGGCCATCTGGGATACTTCAGCTGCGCTGCCATATGAGCCTAAGCGCTGGGGCTGGAGGGGCGGCGGGGGGGGGGGGGGGGGGGGGGGGGGGGGGGGCTGTGAGTTTCGCGGCTCCATGGCAGGACTGAGGCCGCCTTGGGCTGAGCTGGGTAGCTGCTGGAGCCGGGTATCCAGGACTTTAACAACCTGATTCCAGTTTCCTAAGAAAGCTACGAGACTGGACATCGATAGTCCGGCTCCCCGTCCCAGTCCTAACTTACAGGTTGCGGGCCTTAGTTGGGTACTGGAATCTCCTGGGCCCCATCTCCACTCCCACCCCCACCCCGCATCTGCATCCTCCCAGACCTGGGGGGGGGGGGGGCGCGGGGGATCAGGCTCTGCAGAGGGCCTAGAGGTTCTGCATGAAAAGGAAATCTCAAGGCCTCAAAACAACTCTGAGAACACAACTTTGGTGCCTCCTGTGCCGCTTCTAGCCAACTTAACTCTTTCTTGGCTGTATAAACGACACAAACGGAGGTCTTCGCATTTAAAACCAGTTCAAGTAGCTAGAGACAAGAGGTGGTGAGGAGGGAGAGAAGGCAGAGGGGACTGGGCAAAGCAGTCATGTAGAGGCAGGAGAAGAGGAGAGGTGTGGAGAAACGAGAGATGTCTCAACATTACGATATCGTCTTGGAACCGCTAGTAACAACAACCCAAAACAAATCAGTGAACAAATATTAAAGTAAGAAAAAATTTCAATGTATGGTTAAGATCAGTATCTGAAATGTGCAAAAAAAAAACGCTCCTAGATATTAGCGAGTATGAGACAACACAACGGAGAGAAGCCAAGGTCTCAGATCTTAGCAGCCAGCACACAGGAAGGGGGTCAGAAAATGTAGAGTGTTATTTTTGCCTGTATATTTGACAAAAATCAGAAAGGTGCTTACTTATTCCTGGTGAATGGTTCAGGGAAATATTTCCTTACATGGTGTTGATGGTTAAAAGTGTAAATTGTCACAGAACTCAGGGAAACCGGCACCATCCGCCCAAATTACCACACACCATTCAGCTGACTGTCCCTGGGACCGGATGCCCTAGAGACAGCATCAGTGGAGGCTGACCTGTACATACAACGGTTTCTCTCAGAATGCCTGGCAGCAGGAGTGCTGGTAGAGAGAAGGCCAGTAACAGTCCCGCAGAGAGAGCATTGGCACACCTGGCTGGTTTAACACAACTCCATACAGCAGCCAAGAGAAATGGGAAAGCCATATCGCAGTTGGAATTAGGGCATGAGGTATTGCTGTGTAAAAATAAAAGCATAACACTGTGCCATTTTTGAAAGTACAAAATGACAGACTCTCTCTCTCTCTCTCTCTCTCTCTCTCTCTCTCTCTCTCTGTGTGTGTGTGTGTGTGTGTGTGTGTGTGTGTGTGTGTGTGCACAGAATATACTGATATGGTCATATTGGATGTCTCAGCTAGCTGCCTCACTCAGACTGGGTAATATTATTTATTGGCTGTTACATACCTTGACTATCACCCTGTTTCTTATTTTAAATGCGTATACAGAAATATAGGTAAATGGCTTAGGATTTCGATTGCTATAATAAAACACCATGACCAAAGGAAAGAGCTTATTTTTCGTACAACTCCACATCACTGTTCATCATTGTAGGAAGTCAAGGCAGAGACTCAAGTAAGGTGGGGATGTGGAGCCAGGAGCCATGGAGAGGCCATGACAGACAGCTACTTACTGGTTGCTCTTCATGGCTTGCTTGTCCTGTTCTCCTAGTACCCAGGACCATCAGGGGTGAAACAGCCCACAAGGGATTGGGCCCTCCCCCATTAATCACTAGCTAAGAAAACGCTCTGCAGGCTTGCCCACATCCAGATCTTGTGGCGGCGTCTTCTCAGTGGAGGTCTCCTCCTTTCAGAGGACTCTAGTTTGCATCAAGTTAACATAAAACTAACAACAGAGTAAAGATGGGGTTGACAACATGCATCACTTAGAAAGGAAAGGGAGCCTCTGTGGGTGTGAGCGAAGAACAAAGGAGTAACTAATATAACAAGGAAAAGAAAAAACATGAAAACCTCTATAACAATCATGAATTCTAGGTATATCTACACAAGCATATGTGTGTGTGTGTTTATGTACATACAGGGTTTTAACAGGTCGACAGTGCTGTTGAATCTCATGGCACAGTCCTGAAATCCCAGCTACTCAGAAGGCGAAGGCAGGAGGATCACAAGTTCAAGGTCTGTCTGAGCTACATAGCAAGTACAAGGCTGAGATGAGCAATGTAGTGAGTCCCTGTCTCAAAACTAAAAATGCCAGACAGTCTGTGGGTGTAGCTCAGTGGTCAGACGCTTGCCTGCCCTGCACACGGCCAGTCACCAGTATGACAAGCATGAGAAAGGAGCTTCAGGCACCAGTCTTTCGATCATGCCATACAACACGCCAAGCCCGAACTCTCAGTGATGTACCATGTGGGCGTGTCTTTCTCTTCACAGATTTGGGGATCAGGAGTGCGGTCGTATGGGGCTGTAGGTCCAGCTCTCATTGAGCACTGTGAGGGTTGTTCTGAAACCAGAACAGCTGGAACCACTACTCTCACGGGAATGGCAGGTGCTAGCTCAAGCTAAGCCATGTGACCGCATTTTAATCTCCAGACAGCCTTGTTCACCCATGCTTTGGGTCCCCCCAGGAGTGCCACGCTAACCCAACACTGTAGGACAAGGAAATAGACTCTTCCTGTGGAGCTGAGTGGGGGAATGGAGAGCACATATTTCCCTAAATAAATAAATACAACTTTCTCCAAAGTTCAATGGAAGGTTAGGCTGGAGAGGATGTCTCACCTGGGAGCTTGTGAAAATGAGGGGGAGAGCAGAGTGGCGATGTGTGGTGCAGGCTGGATATTGTTGGAGACTTCCTTTGCAGATGTTCCCACTATGGTGATGCCATGAGGTCCCCATCAGAGGACAAAGAATCCTGGCTTTTCGGCCTCCAAAATTGAAGGCTAAGTAAACATATTTTCTTTGTGAAGTTTCTGCCTTCCGGTATTTTGTTATGGCAACAGAAAATAGATTTCCCTAGGGACAGTCGCACAAGCGTCCTACTCACTTGGAGAGCACAAATACCTCTTCCCTGACACAGGGTGACAACAGATGTGACATTCGTCAGTGGGAGAGCATGAACTGGCACAACATTTCAGAAAGCTGTTTCACAACATCTCTTGAAACATAAAACTCATTTGCTTTTTCCATCTGTAATTTCTCTCTTACAAAGAAATTTATCTGTGGATATACCCACCAAATTACATCCATCAAGTAAAACAATATTTGTACAAAAAAAGAGTAAAAACTGGAATAAATACATGATCCAACAAGCCTTGTTTGTATTAGTTATTGTCTGTTGCTGTGATAAAACACCCAACAAACAGCAGTTTAGGGAGAAAAGGTTTATTTGGTCCACAGTTCCGAAGAGAGAGTCCATCCTGGCAGGCAGGGAGGGCAACAGGCAGGGAAGACAGGCAGCAGAACAGGGAGCTGCCTAGGGAGGGAGCAGGAAGTGGGCAAGGCTGTAAACCCTCAAAGACCTGTCCGGAGTGATTAGGCCCCTAGGAAGTCTCCATCCTAAGGACTCTACAACCATTCCAAAGAGCAGCACCTGCTGGCCGCCAAGGTTCAAATACAAGAGCCTGTGGGAACACTTCTCATTCAGACCACTACAAAGTAATGTCCATTAAATGAAATATTCTGCAATTATTTAAAAAACACAAGTACTCAAGGTATACCTACATATAAAAATATTTTCAAGACACACTATTTACAAAATCAAAGTTCAGAAAAATGAGCTAAGAACACTCACAGGTCAGAAAGGAGTGCTCCAGTTGTGAACAAATATAGCAACTGGGGAATTCTCATTGTAACGAGATACAATTTCACCCTCAGAAAATTAAAAAAGGAATTCTAACATGACATAAGCATGAGGCACCTGGGACTCACACGCACTGCAGTGGTGAAGGGCCTGGCACTCAGCACAGCGGTGTTCAAGCTTGAGGGAGCCAATGACGCAGAAGGGGCAAGAGCTTCCGTTTCCTTTGATAATCATGATAATGTAGAACAAATATAAACTATAAATTACATAAAGCTCTGAAACAAAGAAGGCTTTCCCAACATTCAGGGGGAGAACATGAAGTTATAGAGGTTGAAGATTAGAACAATTAAAGGCCTTATAGTTGACTAAGTAAACAATTAGCACAGACTGATCATCCAAAGCAGGTCTCTACCAGTATGACCCCAGTCTCTAGACTAGGCTCCTTGGGTGTCCTGAGAGATGAATGGATGCCCTGCTCCACTGGGCAAACGCGTCATCCAACATAGCGCCCACCCAGCTGATTTACTGGACAAAGGAAATGACTGAAAGATTTGACAGAGAGCCAGGAGATGGCTCACTGGGTAAAATCACTTGCCGTACAGGCTTGAAGATCTGGATTCAACCCTCTAAAGCTATGGGAGGAGAGAACCAACTCCCAAAAGCTGTCCTCTGGCCTTCATGGGAATGCCATGGCATCTGGAAACCCACATTCACATCCACATCTGCATAATTGATAATAATTGATAATAATAGGCAGAGAAAATGAGTAGATCCACAAACAACAAAATGATGTCTTAGACGCCGGTGAGGAACCACGTGTACAGGACCAACACCCAGTGGGATGGTGCAGAACAAGAGGGTAGAGTTAGCAGCGCACCTAAAGATATATATATATGGAGCAGCTACATTCTTTACAAGATCAACACCTGTCAGCACTGTGAAATGGCTACATCTAGTTTAGAAGAGGGCAAACTAATTAACCCTACCATTATCTGAGTTGCTGTGTTCACATCTGGTTTCTACAAATGCCTTCCCATTTGACAAGGGATAGTAAAATATTACT